GTAGGTATATTAAATGAAGTCATACCAAATTGTATTTATCCATATATTAACATATTTTGTTTTATTTAAGATAGTGCGATCATAGTGGCTGACGAATCATATTACGGTACCAGCAACTTCCAGGAATATGATTAGCAGACCGAATGAAAGGGAAAAAATAATAAATTTACTTTGCAAAAATATCGTATATTAAGAGCGATTTGGGAACAATATTAAAATATAGTGAGTCGGTTGGGGAGTCGATATTTCACGAGTTTAATTCAAAAATACGAAATTTGTACAATCGGTGTCGCTGTCCCATCTTGAGACAAAGTGATACAATGGACGAAGGTTACGCAAGAAGAACAAATTGGATCATGTGATGAGTTTAGCAAAAAACTATGTCCCTCAGAATACGATAAGTCTTACGGAAAGCCTAGTGTTGACTCTTCTGTGGCAGAATTCAGGAGCGATGATTAAAAAATATCTTGTCCCACTCAAGCTGTATCTTTAGTTTATATTCAATCATAATGTATTCAATTAATGAAAAAAATTGACCCGGTAGTGTTGGATTTATTACGATATACCAGGAAAGAACACGGAGAAACTGCACAAACTGTGCAAGAAGCAACTAAGCCCACTTTTTGCAAAATTTTGAACATAGAAATAATGGTCAACGTAATATTGTTGCTGATATGTATTCCTTGATCGAAAATGTACAGCGTATTTTAGTTTTTTAACTTTAAAATCTTTTCGCTAGCAAATAAATAGTTTTTGGTTTCCTGAAAAATTAGCAACACTGGACTGGCCGGTTATTCCATTAAGACTTCAATTGTTCAAAAAATTCCCTTGGACCAGTTTACGACACATAAACTTATCAATTTTTTTGTCTGTTGGTTTTTTTCCAAGTGTTCATTTTTGTAATTTTAATTCGAATTTTTCGTTATCTATACGAATCGCATTAGTTGAGAATTCAAGCGACTTACGAAATCAAACTAATGAATAAATTTAGCTAATACAAGAATTTTGTTTTTTGGCCGAAATTAATATTTAAATATACATTCTTAAGCATTTTCGCAACCGCTGCTGTTTTGTGTCCAACCTATGGCAATGAAAATGTTTGCTCGTGAAGGTTGTTTCCAACAGGCGCTTGATCGCATTTTTGCTGAACCATCCTTGACTTTTTGGGTTTTATTGCAGATTGTTCTAACAGATTTAATAACATTTTTATGGGCACATCCTTGACTTTTAAGTGCGTTTAAAGACCTACAAGAGTTGGGTGAGCCGAATTTCAGCTTTATCATTCGGATCTCAGGAACGGTTTATGTCTGCAAAACATGGAGCTGTTGTAACAAGTGCACGAACTGCGGCATTTGTACCTACTGGAAATACTGAGCGGCGGGGAATTTTTCACAAACATGGGATTACAAAAATTTCATAATCTGATTTTGTGCAACGACAAGAATGATCAGGATAAAGTGTAGCATATTTTAACATTCAACTGCTTCTATCTGGATTATTCGGAAAACTTGAAACTGTTTTGAGTTATCAGACTATGAAGGCTAGAGTTTTGAGTTACTATTAAATTGCACACCACTATGCCTGCGGTCTCCGCAAATGTACCTTTAAGTATGAAAGCAGTTCATATTTAGAATTTATAGGAAGTTTTAATCCAGCATGTTCATTTTTCTGCATGTTTCAAATATCAAATTGAATAGTGGAGCTCAGAAAGACCAGTTTCTGCAATTGTTGTTTAATGAAATGGCAATATAGGAGGAGGTGGTAATTAGTCTAGTAGCTTTCTATTTCTTTAATTGAATTTGTAGAAGAATTTTCAGGAAACTTACTTACTTAAATTGATTCATAGTAAAATAAATGTAGGAGCTAAGGGATCTAAGTGTTGAAATAAAATCATTCAAGAACTGAGAAAAATTATTTGGCTTAAGGATAAAACAAATATATTATCGTTAGGGTCTTATTATATTGATGGACATCCGCAAAACAGGAAAAAAGACTTCTGCCACGTCTTAAAAATCAGATTTCTGCCTGAAAGATGCCCGCGTTTTTCATCGATGTTTGAAAATATAGCTGCTAGAATGTTTTCCTATTCTCTAGACTTATTTACATTTCCAAATTTACGTTCCCAAAATTACATTTTCTCAATAGTTCTAACTTTTTCGGAAGTGCGGTACTTTTTCCACTCGAAGTTGACATTTAAGCGTTTTTTTGTAGAACCTGTACTATCTTTATATATTTGATTGCTAATGTTAGACTGATGACAAATTTCGATGTGACGAAATACTTTGTAATCTTCTACAGTTTGAATTTTTCAATCTTTACTCAGTCTCCAATTTTTTATCTTCAATTCCTTAGTTTTGATAGGAAATGTCTGGACATTTATCTTACAATAGAATACAACAGTTTTTGTGGTGTAAATTTTGCGAAAACTTTGTTGAATACATTTCAAAGAAAACTATTTTATGATATTGGTGGAGAAGTTCTGACGGAACAAATTCTCAAAAATAAAGAACGGCACTAAATGATGGTTTAACAGTTTGATGTGTTTTTATAATTTAGTTCGAGCAATGAACTTGCAAAGTATCATTTTAAGACGGTCAATAATAGATATTGAAAAAAATAATATCAAACGATTATTTTGTTGCCGACAAAGTGTGTCAACTTAAAATGCAAAATCTATTAGTAAGACCACTAGGCGTATAACTAAATAGTTTTCACTCAGAAATAAAATATAAAACTGATATCAGTGTTTTATTAATATTAAGTCTTAGCATAAAATTTGGCGCTCAATACTAATATTTTTTACAATAGGCGTTTGAATTTTTACTACACTCCGGGATAAAACCGGACACGAAAATGTGATTCAATTTAAATCTTATCATTTTCACCTTCCTGTTCCGTAGTTAAAGTTGTACCGAGTGGAATAAAAGTTGTAACCAGAAGAAAGAATTTGATACTCGGCCATCCACGGTACAATATATATAAATATATAAATAATCTTTATTTCCTACAGAAAAAAGCTATCGACCCAATCGGTCTTTCTGTCCTGCGGTTTTATTTTGTGTCGAAAATGTGTTTGAATGTTCAGTTTGCTACCGACAGAGAAATCGCGTTCTTAGATGGGAAATATGTAATCATTGTGGATCTTATGGCAAGTGCGGTAGTTTGTGAAAGTGTAGTGAACTTCTTGAGGATTAATGTGTAGATGATGGAGGGTGGCAGCTTGCAGAAAGCTGGTAAGAATGATCTCTAATATTTAAATCTTTTAGCTTGAACTGGGTTTAGTTTTCCGACAAGCAACCGAAGTTTTACGGTTTCTTTATATTTTTCTCTCTTCGATTGGCTGATTTCTAATAAATCTGGCTTTGGACAGATTTCCTGCTGTAATAAACACATTTTCTTCTGTTTTCGCCACAGAGTTCGTTTTTATATCATTGGATAGAGAATTGGTAATTCGATTCGGTTATAATAACGTGCGTTATTCAACATTTAAGAAGCGCGCAAATTCAAGATTGCATGTGCTTTGAATAAATGTTTGAAGGTTTGAAGAAATTTTGACGACAGTTAAAGCGCACTATTATTTACTGAACGTACAACTCTGAACTTGTCGCTTATTTTTTGTTTCTGAGAAATTTATTTTCGGAAAACGCGATGCAAAATATGTCGCCCAACAGCTTCTTCAAATCATAAGCAAAATTTTCTCAGCACGTAAAATTTTAAATTTTGACTATTAGAGCACTCTTTTAATATGCACAAGCTCGTCAACTTGTTTCCTTCTGTTCCGAAGAATTTTCCATATTTTTCTTTGAGCGCCATACAGGTGGGTCCATGTCGCTACTAAATTTAGCCCAATATTCTCTTTTGATTCATTTTATTTTTGCTTTTACTCTGTTCCTTACTTGGCCATATTCTGCGTGAGTTTCTTCAGACGATGCGTTTTTGTATGTTAGGTACAATCCTAATTAAAGGGCTAAGTTGCATCTTGAAAAACTAAGCAAAAACTGCGAAAGTGACCGCAAGGTCACTTAGAAATAAACATTTCAATAAACGTTGATATTTTAAGCGTTATGACTGATTACTTCATTTGCATTAATTTCAGCTGAATAAATTTCAAAACCCGCTAGAGTTCAGTGCAATGGTAAGCTTTGAAGTAAATCAAGCATGGTATTCGACAAATATTTTAAATCACTTTCGCCATTTAGTGTATTTGTAAACCAGCTAGCCTCATAAAATAGTAGCAAAATATGTAATTGTAGTTACTCTGTGAAAATGTTTTGGTATGGAGTAAGCCAATCAGTAGTAGATATATTAGTACATTAAAAAATATTTTTGAATCAATTTTGTGCAGAAATTCCACAAAGCTTGTTAATTAATATTAATGTGTTATTCCAAACTTGTTTCCAACTAGCAATATAACCACTGAGATCCTTGAATACGTAACCATTTCGCTCTGCAATCATAACACAGTTAATTTTTCAGTCATGAAAACATCAAGAATGCTTTTGCGGAGAACCAACCCCGACAAATTGATTTAGGATTGTTTTCGGTCTGATTAAATCGCCAGCTAAAGATTTCAATGAACGACTGGAAGAGCATTTATTTGGGTAAACTTTTGTAGACGTCTTAAAAAATAGATCATTTGGAGCGTAGGCTGAATTCGCAGCCTCAAAGACCTAAAATCGTGATTTGAATATTTTACAAAATACATTAAAGGTTTTATAAGGTCTGTTTCATTAAGTTTATTACTGTCTATCTAAATTCTTTCATTGCAAGCAGCAAAGTTGATACAACTATTGTTTTAACAATATTAATCGCAAATAAATTCCAAAGAAGTATTAATACCAGCAATTTTTTCTCGAATCGAACAACGTGACCAAGAAAAATCGACCGACAATTTGTCAATTGATTTCGATAACATTACAACATTTTTGGCGAGTCAGGACCCATAGTGGTACCCGTTATTAGCGCCAAAAACTTTCTCCGCTGATGGGCTTCTTCATCACCTTCGATACCACCAAGACCAAGACTTGCTGTCCGTAGATGGTCTTGGTCGACGGTAACTATCGGTCGTGTTTGCAACATTTGGATGTACTTTCGATTTTAAATCGCGAGAAGATAAGTGTGTCGGACAGGTTCCGGAATTTAAACTGTCCAAGACTTTTTCTTTAGTGCGTGCTACGATTTTTTCCCTGCTCAATAATTATGGAACTTGTAAGGTAAGAACTGAAAATTTATCCCAAAATTTTATTTTTGAAAATTAATTTTCCAAGCGGTCTAACCCGGTGTCGAAAAAAATTGAAAATATTTTTTTCAATGCAAAGCGTTTGCCCTCGTGTACTTTTCCTTCATAATGCCATTAAAAAATGTTATGCCTCTCATTGACCAGAAATAAATAAGCCAGGAGCTGGAAAGTATTCTGCTTTCACAAGGCGAGTGATTTTATAAGATTTGTATCGGAAAAAGTTTCTAATGAGATCATTAATCAATAAAAAAAAATGTTTGTATCAGTAATTGACTTTATGTTATTTGTAAACCAGGTACAATAAATGTTGGTTTGAGACAAATTAATATTAGTTTTCTAATTCTAACTAAAACTTGTAGATATTTTCCCAGTGCCTCTGTTTAAAGAAAATTGTAATTGGGCCAAAAAAAACTTGGGCAATGTACGTATTGCCACGTCTTGAATGCACCTTGTGTGCAAATGATGTATTGTTTGGACCCACAATTATCATTTCCGTATTTCGTATCATAAAGTCTAGTGCTATTGGAAATAGTCTCCCAATATTTTTGCTGTGAGAAACGTGAATAACTTCTACATTATTTTATCTTAAATGTTGTACATACAACAAATCACTTAAAAGCTAAGTTGGAATAGATCAAAGAACACTATGCAATTTTTATTGACGCCAATATAACAATCGGTCAGTAAATTAAGTGTGCAAAAAACAGCAGAAATTCGAAAGTGTATCATTTTTTTATCCAGCGCAGATATATCACCAAAGTAAGTTCGACAAAATATTGTTGATGTGAAAGTTTCAAGATAACGGAGAAACAGGAATGTTAAGGTTTTGCACTTTGAAAGCAGAGTATTTACTTTCTTATTTTTATTGCCTGTCTCAGTCAGTCAAAGTACTTGGTATATGGTATATACCAAGTGTGCGAACAGTGCAGTCACAGAATGACGACTTATTCTTGAATTAATAGGAATTTTAAAAGTTGCCATTATTTCCAGTAGGCATTATTTTGAGGTAAATTATCAGTGTGCTGTTGGAAATCTACATTAATTGGCAAATAAAATAGCTTGTATTTTACGTATGGTACAGGACGAGCCTTGAAAACACTTCAGCTATCATGTGATGGAGGAAGAAAATTGAAAGTATGATTGCCCCCCAGCTTATTTTCTTATCGAATAGCATGTTGATACATAAACTGAACGCTTTTTCCGCAAGGTTTTAAATGGGATTTCTTTAATTGATAATGGGATAATTCTTAAAATGCAAAATCTATTAGTAAGACCACTAGGCGTATAACTAAATAGTTTTCACTCAGAAATAAAATATAAAACTGATATCAGTGTTTTATTAATATTAAGTCTTAGCATAAAATTTGGCGCTCAATACTAATATTTTTTACAATAGGCGTTTGAATTTTTACTACACTCCGGGATAAAACCGGACACGAAAATGTGATTCAATTTAAATCTTATCATTTTCACCTCAATCCTTAACGAATATGAACGTTGTGAAAAGCTTAAATTGCTTTCTCGAAGAAAATTCCCAAGAACACAACTGTGAACGACTTAGTATTAACATATGGCGCAAGATATGCAGAATTTTAAATTATGGAGATGGTTTTTTACATTTTTTAGACCATCGCTTAAAGAAAATGATGACCAAAATCCGTTTGGATATTCCTCCAACACGCTAGAGTGCCTTCTTATTTCTTAAATAATATTATACTTTTTCGGAATATACATTTTGGCGATCTCGCAACGAGCACACAAGAGATGCATCACCAGTTGGCATACTTCGATAATGCTCTATCGTCCATCAGAGCGAATCATCGTTTGCTAAAAGTTCCCAGTAGATCAATTTATCAAAGCAGAAATAAGCCTATCGAAGTGCCAAGTGAGGTTTTCGAAAATTTGAAATTGTGATTATTGCTGTTCGTTTATAGATTTTTGCTTTTGGGTTTTGAAATTTTTCCTTAGTTTTTAAACTAGAATTAATCAAAGTATATCTGAAACTTATGAGATTATTTTGCATAGTTTGACTTTTTTGCTTATCCTTTAACGTTTTCTATTTCCTCTTAAACTACTCTGTGTACTTCAAAATAAGTTTTCATATTCGAAGAACTTTCAGTTGCCAAGCTCAAAAAAATCAATTTTAATATTTCGGCAATAGGTACATGTTTTGTGAAAGAAAACAAAATGTACTCCACTGATTGTTGAAGAGAAACAAGTTCTAACCAAGAATTATTAAATAACTGTATCGCGTATAGTTAGTGCTAGTATATTTATTGATTTAATTTAATTTTTGTAGTGGATTTTGATGAGAAATTATAAAAGAACATGGAAACAACTCAAATCAAACTGCTGATATTGACATCGCAGAGTTTATTTGAATAAAAATATTTAAAATCTTTCAAAAATCGTTTTTAAAACAAATATTTTTGGTACAATTCTATTTTCACCTGTTATTTTTAATCTTCATATGAAGCGACACTTATTTACGTTATGTTAATGCCAGTTGTAATATCCGATTTGCATATTCAAAACATGTGCCAGAAAACCCCTTCAACAGCAAGCATCAAATAAAACTTTTTTAAACAAAAAATAACACAGTTTTTAAACGATATCTTCTTATCAGAATTTATGTCCAGTTTCAGGCTTAAGTTAACTCCGAATCTTCTAGGTACTTAGTACGTAGGTTTCAAAGTGTCGCTGTAACATAATTTAAAATTAACGTTTTCACAAATATCTCATTTCTAATTTTAATGTTTTTCTTTACAATTTCTTAAAATTATTTTTTTGCACTTCTTTCGGAGCTCTCTATGGCCAATTTTAAATCACCTGAATTAGTGTCAAAATTTCCTTCTAAAATGCAACGCGTTCAAATTTAAAAAACAATTTAAACAACTTTGCAACAAAATATGTTTAAGCAAAGTTTAATTTCAGTAATTTATTAAAATTAATTAGTACTTTATATTCAATTCAATTGCACCTGTAAATCAAATAGTGCGAATTTCTAGAAAAGACTAATTTAACTTTGATATTCTGATGGGCATCAAGAACATTTATTTTATTTGGAACTTTACCTTTTGTTTAAACAGTTCTACATAAATACAAATATTTGTATTTTGTGTGTCTATATGTGGCTATGAAAATATTTTAAAAATTACCTACAGCAATAGGAGAATTAACATATAGAATATATTGCATATAAACAACAAAATGCATACCTTGTTTGTGCGCAGAAATGTGCGAAAAATGCTAGAATTATTTTATTTGTTATTAAATTTAATATTAAAACATTTATTATAATTTGTTTTAAATTAAAATTTTAGCGTTTTGGAACATTATTGTAGGAACGTTTTCAAATCGAAGTAATCTTATCTTGCAATTGTGCGTAATTTTTAACAGTTTTGATTTAATATCCGCTTTGATATTGATTAAATCAGGAAAAACTTATCGACGAACTACAGAGGTTCAAATCATACTTTCGCATTAAAATCTGCACTTAGCCTAAAGTGATTATATTTACAATTTTTACAAAAGGGAAGCATACATTTAGGAACCGTTTTTATTTTATTTTCGTACTTAGCATTCTGTAATAAAAGTAAAAAGAACAGTTGCTTTTCGATCCTCATCAAAACTGTTCCGTTTGGAAATTGCTGTTCAAATACTCATTAGCTCGACATGATATTGTTTATACTATTAAAAATTCCTCATATAATCAAAGCAAAAACAAGGGTGGCACTAGGACAAATGAAGAACCGTAAATCGCCTGGTGAAGACAGAGTAACCTGTGAAATACTGAAAATGGGCGGAGACTTCATGGAACAAACTCTACTGGTGTTGTTTAATAAATGTTTATAGGGTTATTTCAGGAATACCGACAACAGACCATTCAAATGTTAATAGAGAAGACAACGGAATATAATATTCCAATTTATTTCGCCTTTATAGATTTTTATAAGGCATTTGACTCCGTTGAAACATGGTCCTGCGTGCGATGGATAGAGCAAGAGTTGGCTCAAGATATTCTACCCTTCTTAAGAATATATGCAGAAGCGCTACTTTCTGTAAAAAATTTACTGATAATCGAAAAAATTCTAACTAATAGGGGAGTACACCAGGGTGATCCTATATCCCCCAAAAAAAAATTTAAAAAACTATAGTGGGATAATAAAGGTGTAAACGTTGATGGTACTTTTTTAAACCATTTACGCTTCGCCGATGACATAGTGCTTATCAGTTCAGATATCCAGGAGCTGAGGAACATGCTCGAACAACTAATTGAAGCTGCAAATAACGTCGAATAAGGATGAATGAGCAGGACTGAGGAAGACATATGAAGGAAGAAGATGGTATCATACAGGAAAAGGGAACAGCATGGAAATAATAGAAAGAGGCATTTTTTCAGGAGTGTACAGATAATGGCTGACAAAGAAGGAAAAGAAGATTCAAAAGTCTGAATATACATGCAAACCGTACACAAAAAATATCAATTTCGAAATGCGATATATACTCGTATATTTAACGCTTTATTGAAGTTGTCCTTGAGGAATGGAAATTTTGAAGATATTTCTTGATATTCATGCTTTCATTATTCATTGTGTATGGCGCATGCCGCAGTTTCCTGTCTGTTTGTTCTTAAACACAACACAATACTTTAGCGGAAATAGTTTCACTTAGACTTGATGCAATATGTTCTTTAAGTATTATAGTCTTGGCACATTGCTCCTTAAAATCAATAAACAATTGTAAATTTGACCTAGAATAAGTTGAAAAGATTATTAAATATTCGTGCCATGCCGTAGGTATATTAAATGAAGTCATACCAAATTGTATTTATCCATATATTAACATATTTTGTTTTATTTAAGATAGTGCGATCATAGTGGCTGACGAATCATATTACGGTACCAGCAACTTCCAGGAATATGATTAGCAGACCGAATGAAAGGGAAAAAATAATAAATTTACTTTGCAAAA